AAAAAACTCAAATTGATTGTCCCATACTATCTACTAGTAATATCTATTACACAAAAAAGACCCGATTTACACATATTTTTGGTAGGAGTTTTCCAGAATACGTAAAGGATTTGGCTCAGATACACTGAATCGGTGTCAATGTCATTTTGTCATGGTCTATTTGACACAGAATCGTCGATCAATTTGTGCCAAAGCCGTGTCAATACTGTTATTTTTTAAGTGTTATAAACTAGTTACAAATTGTGTTGCTCATTGGAACAATTTTATATGAGCCAAATTATTAGAATGGTTATTTAATTCTCCCATTAGAGTCAGCTACTTGGCTAACAATTGCTTGAATAAGGAAAGGTTTGGAATTCTGATTGAATAAAAGACGGCATGACTCCATCAAACACAGCCTAGCTAGCTAGTCAAGAAACTCCCAACATCCCACCGGTGGAACGGTTCCAACTTCCCAGAACGGAAATTTAAAGAGACGGGGTCGTATACACGTATGTATAATAATGTATTTATAACTATCTTATAATAATAATAAATATAATACAATAAAGTTGGTAAACGTTGAGCAGAATTTGATGAGATTTGACTTTGAATACTCTTTAGTCTGATTTAATTCTATCAAAGATTAGTCAATTAAAGGCGTCGGCTGCTTCAATTCTTTCCAAATGCATACCGGCCCGTAGACCGGTAGACGGCCGGCCAAACAGTAGAGGGCCGGAAGCACCGGTCCCATGCATAATAAGACCCGAAAAGATAGTTGGAAACAAATAAGTTATTCGATCATAGTCGGTGGATTGCTCAAATACCCCCTATTATTGCATGCCAACATTATTGTTTTGTTACTTTTGTACGAGAATGTTTTTAATTGTATTTGAAATTTTCTGATCTCATTTGTTCCAGTATGATTTGGTCTATTCTGTTTGAGTATGTGTAATTGAGTTGGACGACATTCGTGTCCACAGGTCGCCCGCAAGAGAAAACTTTTCACCTTAGGAATCTTAACCCTTAAATGAGACTTCCCTTTATAAGGGGTTGCAAATCCCTTGGATTTTCCAATGTGGGAAATAACACACTAGAAACTCACCCTTTCATCAGTTTTTCCATTCTAACGGATAAACTTTATGAATCAATTTCTCATTCACTCATTATCTGTTTTGGGTGTACCACATATCGAATTGTAGTCTTTAGAGCATCTCCAATCCATAGGGTGGATTGGTGCTTATGTGTCATCCAAATGCAAAGTGTCTAAAGAGCTTGTGGAGCAAAATAAACAAATTGAAGGGGTCTATTTTCTTCTTACTCCAATGCAAAAGGAACTTGAAAGCAAAATAGAGAATAATCATCTTCTCTCTCCTTTGCCAACTAAGTTTTGCTCCCTTCATTTTTTGTTGCATTGGAGATCACATTTTCTAAAAGGAAGTGCATTTGGTGAGGTGGAGATGCAATCCACCTCTCCATTGGATTTGTTCTTAGCAAGGACAATCCGAAACCACTTTGACCCGACCCAAATCGGAAGTGGACCCAACTCAAAAAAAATTCTAAAAATTACCATTAAATGCAATTTTTAACACATTCTTCCAACAAACTTTTATTTAGTTCGGCCATATCCTGCCTCACTTAAAATAATGGCTGATAACTGATACGGAGTATGCACTAATTAGTAGTGCATAAATGTATCTTTTTATGTTTGATTTGTGTGGATTGTTTACCATTTTATTTAGTTTGTAAACATTTGTGTGATTTTAGTTGTAATTGTATTTTAGTTCTCATTTGTAAGTTGTAAGGTAGAGTTAGGATTTATGGTGTTGGAGAGGAAGACTTCGAAGTGAAGAAAAATGATCATTGGTTGCCCAGGACAGTCACCCGGTCGGGTGAGACTTGAAATACGAAACTGCTCAGGAAATTACATCACCCGTTCGGGTGAGGTATTTCACTCGGTCGGGTTAGATGTGACCCGGGACATTTTAACGTGCTGAAACACAAGAACATGGAAGATTATCTGATCTTGACATGCACCCGGTCGGGTGGGCTCTTGACCCGGTCAGGTACCCGGCCCAAGGTGTTGAAAAACACCTATAAATAGCACACTTTTCCTTCACTATTTTACATTCCTTCTTCCATACTCTTAAGCTCAGTTTAGAATCGTATTTCTTTTATATTTTTATAGCATGTTTAGTCTCCAAATGAGGAGCTAAACTTAAATTTCTTGGTGTTGCTCTTGAAGCTTGTTGATTATTAAAGTTGTGAGTTATTTTCTCAACTTCTTCCCTTGAATATTAATTATTCCCTTAATCTATCTATATATTAATGTTGGGGAGTGTTGCTAAGATGACAATTAGTTAACATCTTGACATTAGTTATAGTAGTATTTATCATCTTTAATATCCTTCCTTGAATATTAATTAATTCCTATTAATATTTCATATTAATATTTAGAACATTACTTAAAGGATCAACTAGTTTTGTTTCATATATTAATTATTACTAGAAACGATCAACGAACCGATGGTTAATCATTGATGGTTTCACAAGTAAGTAACTTCGGTTTATTAATGCACGGTCGTAGTTAATAAACTTAAGAGGGATTAATTTTGTTGGTTAAACCGAAACCGTTGTGTTGAGGTTATCAATCTCAATTGATTTCATCAAGGAGTTAAGATATTAAATGGTACTATTAAATCGGTATACGGCGTTGTTCTATATTTGATTAATAGTAAGGGTTATTAATGAATGGTCGTTGTTAATAACTACCCTCGATGAATTGGATATACTCCTCGATTGAGTATTCGAGAGGGGATAAGTTATCGATATAACAATGATCGACTAAAATATATCAACAAGTGGAAAGTAGCAATGCGTCCTTTTTATCTTTGAATTAAATCTCATATAAGTCATTCATCTTCGTATTTAATTAAATTAAATTCCAACAATCCCAAAACCCCCCTTATTTACTAGTTTTACTAAAAAGAGAATTATTTCTTTCCCTGTGGATACGAACTCTACTTCACCTATACTACGTATAAGTGCTAGTATTGAATATTATTTTGACGCACCGTGACAAAGTGTTCGTCAATAACTTCTTGGGTTAAATGGCTACATAGCTTAAATAAGTATAAGAAGACAAATTAATAGCCTATATTATTCTTTTTTAAGTGCAAAACACTTTTGTAGTTAAAAGGAAACCACATGATTATGGTTAACATAGGCAACCGTTTGTTTTTATCCCCTTAATTATGTAAGTTATGCTATTTGTTTTATTTATTCAAATATATGACATAAATTTAACTACACTTCTTTAATGTTGAAACAAACATCATCATGTTAATCTAATCGGCTAGAATCACGGGTATATGTAAATACATAGATTTTTTTTAGAAATTTGAAAAATGGAATTATAACCATAAATAAATATAACGCAAGCCGAAATATATAGTTACCAAACGATATGATAAAATAGAGTAAATTTATGTCATATATTTGAATAATTAAAACAAATAGCATAACTTACATATATAACTAAGGGGATAAAAACAAACGGTTGCCTATGTTAATCATAATCATGTGGTTTCCTTTTAACTACAAAAGTGCTATGCACTTAAAAAGAATAATATAGGCTATTAATTTGTCTTCTTATACTTATTTAAGCTATGTAGCCATTTAACCCGTTTGTTTCATACAGATAGTTTTGTGTATGTATTATGTTTCAAATAAAAATGTGTGTATTATGTATTACTTCGTATTAAGTACACTGTTGATTGTGATAACAGGAATCTTAATTTATTTATAACAATATCATCACGTTTTCTCAATGCAATGTTTTGTTATCATTTTCGGCAAATTAATTAAGATGAGACACCTTTTTGCTGTTCTCAGAGCTGGAGGATGTAGTTTTCAATTTCGTGATGACAAAATTTTCATTCGAAATGAATTGAATAAGTAATAAAATATTTGTTTATTACCATTAGCAGCCCGTATAAAAACTCTTGTGACCGGCTATTGGCAGAATGGCAGGAGACCTATTTTAAACAACCGGACCGACCGGATCAGACCATATAATTAACATTCTATCACTAAAATCATGTGAGATAGAGTACAAACAAGCGATCACCTAAACTTGTCAATTCGTCAAATATCATCCTAACAAGTAACAATAATACCAACATGAAAAATGTTCTTTGTACATGTTGGCTTACACATCAAATGGGATAATGAATGGAGCAGCTCCGATGGATTTCTTTCGTAATATTCTTGTTTTTTTCAATTTTCTTCATTGTATTTTTTTCTCTACTCTCCCTTTCCATGCAATTTTTCTTGTTTCTTAATAAAATATCATCTTAAAAAACAAAAAAAAAAACTTACACACCAAATGTTTTTGTTTGTGATGCTTAGACAATTTGTTTTCATTGTAGTAAATGAAAATATCTTTGACACTGAAAAAGTGAAATATTTGTGCATCGGCAATAAGAATTTTCAGGGTCACAGATAGGGATGGACCCGGATCGGGCCGAGTCAGGCTAGGGCGGTACCAATTTTGAAAAAGTGGAGTCCGGTAATGGCCCGATATGCTCCGATACCAGTTCGATCAAGGCCCAAACATTACTGGGCCCTAGTCAGTACCAACCCATTTAATTAAAAAAAAATTATAAAATAGCCATTAGACCCAAACCAAGCCCAGCCAAGCCCAAAAAATCAAGCCTGAATCCCACCACTTATAATCACCGATCCAGTACCAGTCTGCCCGGGTCCAGTCCATCCCTAGTCAAAGATAGCTGTCTTTCCAATTCAATTGTGGTAAACCCAACTAAAAATTATTTTAGACCATAGGCCCGGGGAAGAAGACCTGATTATCACTTCAATTCAACTATTTGCCAATGGGAAAAACAGAATGTAGTAAGAAATGGATAGTCATGCAATAGAAGCGCGGAAAATTATAATCCCGTACTAAAAAATGAAAATGAACCAAGAGGAATCATTTCCACTACAGTTCAAAATCGTTACAAGGGCATCTCAATACATTTCATTGTCAACTCATCATATATAAATAGAGAATTAAATTCATGGGTCTACAAAAACAGTGAGACTGATGCCCTTAAGTTTTTTTATCATTGCTTTAGCCAAATACTTGGACCAAGAAACCAACCATAATATCATAATACGATTTGCAAGCTCTCAGTATCAAGATGTGAGTTACATTCAAAATGGTCAACTGAATAAAAGATTTAACTTTAAACTTTGTAGTCTTATTTGTATTGTTAGCTTTTTTCTTAATTCTATACAAATTTAGGATGAGATGTTTAAGCTCCCATACAAATTTAGGATGAGATGTTTGGGTGGCTACTTCTTTGGCTAAATACGAGAAGGATATCTGCTTCTTCGCTGCATTTCAGCTTCGTTCATTCGATCTGATAACCACACCAAGCCTTTGTAGCCATAAAACGATGATATTATCAGAGTTATGATCACAATGACAAATAGAAGCAGCCTCCAGGTAGCAGTTATTAATCGCTGTCAGTAGAAACAACAATCATAAGAATATAGCTAAGCTATCAAATTCAGGCGCCGTTTGGTAGAACTCAAGCTTAACTGCTTATTGACAGAATAAAATGATCAGATTAAGAAAAACAAGCACATCTTGACATAGATATTATCAAACACTTTACCTTAAAAAATCAGTAGATTCAACTATTTCAGCTGATTAAGACTTACCAAACGAGACCTAAGGTAACAAATCAATAGTAACGCTAACAAATACCTGCAGTCTTGAGATTTTCATGTCTTCCTGCACATGGTCTCGTCGTCTTCTACGCTTTTTTGCATTGGTTTTGGTATCTGGCTCCTCTTCCTAAAAAACGTTGAACTTGTTGAACTTAGAACTTTAACCGTTTATAGTGAAATGTGTCTAAAGAAGGTGCATGGCGCCTTCCGTGCTACACCTCCATCCCACACTAAAATTATATAAATCAATTAAGGGGGGTATTTGGTTGGTAAATCTCACATCACCTTGCCTACGTGAAAACAGTATTGTGATACTGCCTTGTGTTGTTCAAACTTCAAATTATCAGATTACCATGGAAAGCTAACATTACTTCCATTTAGGAAAATGAGGCAATAGTGGGGTAATGTGAATATGTGATCACTTTAGGTTTCTCAGGTACAACTCCTATCTCTAGTTTATCTTCTCATTTTCTTTGTCTGTGTGTCAAAACTATTATTCATTTCCTCTTGCGAAAATCAATATGTGCTACACTTTCACTTTTTTCAATCTTGTATGCACTCATTCAAATGAGCAGACAGAGGGAGTATAAGATCGTCTTTGCTATATTTTAGACCATTCCTTGTCACAGTAATATCACATTGTAGTATCACTGTAATATCCTCATGTTATCTTCAATAAGGTGATCCAATTACCTAAGGTACCCTTACATCCTGTGAACTAAATGTCCCATTAAGCAAGCATGGCATAGACCCCCAGACTGGGGATTAATACTTTACAATTACTTAATGTGTGCGTGTGTGTGATAGAGAAAAGTACCTAGTATAACAAATCCAACATAAAATTTATGTCTTGAAGTTAGAATTATTGTCCATATAACTTGATTACCTCTTCAAGTTTGGGTTTTCGAAGGTGTAACTCCGACTCGGCGGCACCCCTAACTTTGGACTTGCAATCGGTAGTGAGATTACAAGGAAGTAGACCAACTCCATATTGGCGGCTTTTAGACACATCTTTGGGATCATCATACCCACTACGCCGATATATTGCTTGTACGTCTTTACATAGCATCTCCTTTTTCAAGGTTTGGCATTTACAACGAATGACAACCTAACATAATGCAAACAAAAGTTCAGACAGCCTGATAGACTCCCCTATTTTTTTCTTCTATTTGGTGAATATAGAAATTTTCGGGCTTACAAACTGTATTCTTTTGACCAAAAATTGAAATGAAATTGTAGCTCTTATGTTTACAGCAAAATATAATTTCTTTGTTCAATTTCCTTTTTTCTTTCCTCTACAGTACAGTAATACACCATCATAAAAATCTAAATGTGACCCTCTATTCATAAACATATTAGGGTTTAATCCTAAATCACATTAAGAACACGGTCCAATATAACAGAAAGCATATTTGACTTCCCTTTATTCAAGAAGAGTGTACCTTTTTCGAGCACTGTTCAGGTATTGGACAGTCACCAGGATGACATATCTCAGGGCAAAGATGTGTACAATATGGTAACTTTCTGCATGTATTTGTATAATAAAATAATATCAATAATATTAATAATGTATTTCGTCATGTGCAATTGTGCATAGAAATTTCATGTTTCACCTAACATCAAAAATTGCAAAAATACGAGGAAAACAAAGCTCTGTCTTTGTATACCTGTGACAGGGTCCTCTACATGACCGAACAGACAATTGATCTTTTGGAGAGAGGGTGTTGTAGTAGATGCACTCAAATACGTGAACCATTGCACCGCAATGGCATGACCTCTTTATCAATACTTTGCAAGGAGAGCACTCTCCAAGGTGACATGGCAAGGGGCAAGGATGGGGACATGCAGGCTCTCTCTCCTGAACAAAGATCATATGCATTGTCCAATTAGCACTTCCAGTATAAATTAGTGTTGAGCACTTGAGCCTAACTCAACCCTAAAAGAGCCCTCAAGAGGTGAGCATTAAGGATGCCCTGGTCCAGTTCTGGATCACCCAGTCTCGGACTCTCGGGTCATCGAAATGGTAGAACTGGAACTTTAACTGCCTAAAAGGATACATTTCTGTTCTGAGTCAGTTCTGGTCCGGTTCCCGAGTCAGTTTCGGACCAGTTTCTTAGCTTATTAAAACACACGACCAGATTTGGAGCGGTTCCTGGCACCAGTTCGAGTTCAGAGCCACTTTCCCGGTTCGGTCTCCTGGTAAATAACTGGCTGGTCCCGGTCAAATCTCGTTTTGAAAACGGGTTAACTCCTACTGAGGATTTTCAACACTTAGTGACAGATTCATTCATATGCAGTCTGTAGGACACTATGCAAGAATTACTTATGCTAATTCAAACATACGACACAGTTCTGCTAGGGTATTAGGTATAGTAGTAAACATTTGCTGTGACAACTAAGGAACACAAGCAAATAACTGAAATTGAGATGAACGGTTGGAGGCCCGAGATCATACCTTTTGGCAGCGAAGCGTACATTTTTCACATGAATCGCCTCTAGATTGGCCTTCAGATGCAGAAGAAGATGGAATCAACTTCACGGCATGACACACTTTAGTACAATAGTGGTTGCCACAATTGAGAAGATTTCCACATAGATTGTCACATGAAAATTCAGCCACGTTTGAGCACACCATCTGAAGGGGAGAAAGTGTTGAAGTAAGTTGATCAGTTAAATGAATGAAGGGAAAAATAATAAAAATACCCCAAACTTTGAAGGGGTGTGAGATAAATCCCTAAACTTGCATATGTAATTTAAATACCCCAAACTTTATATAAAAGAATATTTTTGAACCATTATCATGTATTATTTCTTTCAAAAATGTAAATTTATGCGGTTAATTGCATAATTTAAAATAGCAAATTAAAAGTTCTGCAATTATATACATTTGGGGTAACATTATTTATTTCGCTATGGAAATTTAGAATGTTAATTGTGTCTTCATGAGTTCTAAAATATATTAAATTATGCAATTAACACCATAAAATTACATTTTTATAAGAAATAATACTTGACTATGGTGCTAAAATAACTTTTTATATAAAGTTTGGGGTATTTAAATTACAAATGCAAGTTTGGGGTGTTCATCTCACACCTCTTCAAATGTAGAAAATGGATGGGAAATGAGTGGATTTTTAAGTTGTTTGGAGTGAGAGATGTAGGAAAGAAAGAAAAGTAAATGTGTGGTGCAAAGGCATATTTACCTCCCACCCCCACACTAATTACATATTTATAAATTATAATGGTAAATAAGTCATTTAATCGTATACAGTCCTACGATATCGTTTTCCTTCTCTCTCTTCAAATTCACATCATTAGGATTTTTTTTAATACAAGACCCACCACGTGTTTCTGTCTCTCTCTCTCTCTCTATATATGTATATATATATATACACACACACACATATGCATACACACACACACATATAGCTGTATTTTTTTATAATGATGGTCCAATTGGGTATGCCTTTTTGGCATATTTGGGCTAAGGGAGATATGGCCAGTTATCCTTCCACTGCTAAGAGGAGAAAGTATTCACTGCTCTGTGAAACCAGCCTGATGCAGTGTCATCTAAATTAGTAGACTGCGACATCTTGACGTTAAAAGAGACATCATGACCAACTCCTAGCTTGGACCGGGCTAGCCATTACATACTTCCTTAACCCAGGCCACAGGACAAGCCCAAAGTTTTATCACCTTAATGCTCCCACTCGGATTACAAGCCCACACAATTGAGCTCAGTGTATGTGTGTGTATCCTCACTTGTCTTCTCTTCCAAACAAGCGAGAAGAGCTATTTTCTATCACACTTCTTTCTCACCCACTTCAGACTCCCTTAAATTCTAACCCAAATAAATACTTCCATGAGAGTAAGATGAAGAAAATCATGAGAACTGGGAAGTTTGGGAAAAGCTAAATTACTAACCATCCTTTCTGCTCCAATGTGCTCACCCACACAAGACCTCCATACAAGTTCTGGGCAAGCAGGGCATGGCGTTCCAGGGGTCGATTCATTTTGCAGAGTTGACTTCTTTTTCTTTGGTTTCAATGTAAATTCAGGAAGAGGGGGAGGCCTTGGGCCATGGCACCTAATTATAACATTATTAAAATAAAAAGAATTTAAACAGTGTTGTAATAGAATATACAGTAGTATTCCTAAAGCATAACATATATGGCAAACCTCAATTTGCACTTGTGACCGCAAGGGTATTCTTCATTGCAAACTAAACGACATGTGGGACAAGCACCATAGTGGCATTTGTGTGGCTGGAGAATGGAAAAAATTATATATAGAACTTTACATTTTACACTATGGTTTCCCAGGAAAATGTAGGACCAATATGCCTTAAATCCAATCCCATGATTTCTAAAATTAACAATAGAGAAAATCAAACCTTAGAAATTGATGCATGCCTGCATAGAAGAGTCATACGGCATAATTTAGGGCATTTAGGTGGTTTCTGTTCAGATTCAGTACCACAAGGAACCTGATAATAAAAGTTCCAATGCAACCCATCATCAGAACTTAATAAATACAATGATTACAGGGATATTGGTCCAATGCAAATACCATAGTGCATGAGAAGGTCATAGATAAACCAAGTACTCCACTATAAGCATGGCCACAAGTATGCGAAATAAAAACAGAATCATGGGTGACACACTGAATATAAGGAGATCATCTAAATTTCGCAAAAAAAAAAATTAAATAAAGGGAGGATGGAGCTAAAATAATTAATAAATAAATAAATAAATAAAATGCCACTCTTACCTCAAAGTATGTCTCACCACACAAGCATGAGATTGTCACCATCACTGGGCAAGGAGCACAAGCACCTCTAGGAGAATAACAAGAAATTATTACACCTTACTCATATTGCTAGTATGAAGAGAATAACATGATCATAAATTCCATTATTTATCATGGAAGCATGAAAAATAAAAAATAAATACTACCGTCCCATATTGGATGTCTTGTCTTAGTTTGACAGGATTATTATAAAGTGTTTTAAAAGTAAAAGTTGTGGTTGAGATTTGAGTGGAATAAAGTGAAATGATAAGAATCACATATTTCTTGCCAAATTAAGAAATAGTAAACTCATTTTGGGACAACACAAAAAGAAAAGTAAGACAACCAAAATGGTGTTCTGCCACCCAACCATTTCTACAAAGACGACAAATGAAATAAAAGAAAGAGAGAACCTGTGACATGGAGCAGGGCACTTATGGTTTCTACACCGAAGCCTCCTATCACATACCTGAGAATCCAAAAAGACTATCAGAAAAGAAACATAAAAGGAGTAAAAAGGACAATTATGTATTATACATAGAACACGGCTAAACACACACACACACCTCAGAACAAGGCAGGCACTCTCCATCACAGCAGCGACGCTTGCAGGCATGTCGTTCGCAATCCCGAAGTTTCAAGCACTTCCTCTCACAGGTTAAATCTTGGTAACAAGGAACCTATTCTAATTTCAGTTTATCTAGAACTAACTAATAATAATCAAGAAAGCACATATTCCATTCATCAAGAAGGATGTAATTTAACAAAGAAGGAAGTCCATGTACCTGTTTCTTAAAGCTCCCACACCTGCACCACTTTGTTACAACACTTCGACAAGTCTCAATGCATGGTCCCCGGTGACACCTCTCGGGGCACCTATGATATTGGCAGCTCAGCATTTTTTCACAAGTTTCCCCACATACAGGCGGAAGAACATCACACGATATCCCGTTGTACTCTTTCTTCCCACACGGGCACGTCCTCTTCCCCTGAAGTGGGCACTTTCCGCATTCACCCTCATGGCAACCTCTCTGACACTTATGCCTACCACATCCCAACAACACATCACATGGATTGTCACACCTGAAAATACTCTCATGACATTGCCTTTCCATCTTCAGCTTCCCACATAGGCAGTTATAAAGGCCTTTTGAGCCACATGGTGGGCAGTCCCCATCATGGCAGATTTCAGTACACCTATGAGTCTTACAAGTCAATAGCTTTTTGCAAGAGGAGTTACAGGAAAAATTCTTGAAACCACATCGTTTCATATCCTCAGTAGACCCGCAGAAGCACTCGGCTTTTACTAATTTAGGGCAGGAGGGGCAGGGACCTGGATGGCAGAGTAATAAACAATGGTGCCCACAATTGTGTTTCAATGGCCTGCCGCAGATTTCACCGCAGGAATGTGGTAAAACCCATGGGTCGTGGGGCGGGTTTTCGATTTTCCCGCAGAAGCAGTGGTAGGTCTTGGGGATTTGGTGTTTGGGGTATTCGACTCGGCATTTGGGACAGTGCCAGAGGAGGGAATTGTCGTTGGTTGTCGCGGCGCGTGATGCTGCACGGGCGGCGGCGAGATTGGAGGCCTGGACGCCCCATGACTGAATGCAGAGGAGATGAAAGACGGCGAAGCAACGGGAGGTGCAGGACCAGGTGGGGTCAACCGGCCTGATGCGCTCCAGGCAGATGAGGCAAGAGAGGGCGCCAGAACGGGAGGAGGTGAGGAAAGATTGGATCTTGAGGAGATCGTGCTGATGGTGATTGCCTCCGCCGGCAAGATCAAGGTAGGATTTGAAGATGGTGGATGAGAGATCGGAGTGGCGGTGGGATTGGGTGGAGACGGTGCCGGAGTCGGAGTCGGAATCTGAAGACAGCGCAGGAAGTTCGGTGCCGGAGTTCATTTTCAGTATACAAGCAAACGCTTTAGCACTTCCACAAAAAAAGCGTTTATATATCACTGTTTTGGTACGAGTAGTTTTTTTTTCCAACAATGTTTTAATAGTGTTTGCCATTAAAATAAACAAGTAATTTATTTTTTTATTAAGGATATTAAAGTATAATGAGATGAAATATAGAAAGAAAAACATCTCATAAATTCTTCTAGGTAGCTAAAGCAACAGCAATATAATTTGGTTTAATAGTCTCGGTGCCCTTGTTACTTCATAACATTTCTTATTTAAAGCATTTTCAGCTTTTCTATTTAAAAAACTAAAATGAATGTTTTCATACTAAACTTTTACTATGTATTGATTTTGAAAAGATTCATACAAAAAAAAATCAAATATATTTAGTATGAATGTTTTCATACTAAACTTTTCATACTAAACTTTTACTATGTATTGATTTTGAAAGATTCATCAAAAACTATCTTTAGATTCATACTAAAGATTCATATTTAGTATGAATGTTTTCATACTAAACTTTTAGTATGTATTGATTTTATTATGTATATGGGTTAGGTCACCAATATTACTAATTATAAGAGATTTGACAAATATAAGACCTCTTTCTAATTCTCCCAAAAAAGAGACCACCATGTGATCACTTTGTGAGTTATACAAATAAAATATCAAATATACCCCTCCCTAATTAATACTCCATACAAGAACTAAATACTACTCCATTACGTATGTACATGTGCCACCGTATCATTATTTGAAAAATGCCCCACGCAATTAAGATAATCGAATCCAACCAATTATACTTAATTATCTAACCTCATCAATCATAGTTTTACGATCCGATCGGTTATAGCTATTCGATTCATTCGGTCACAGTTACTCGATCCGTCGTCCAGTTATAGTTATCTTTTCCGTCCAATTACAGTTACCCGACCCATCGTCCAGTTACAGTTACCCGACCCGTCATCCAGTTACAGTTATCTGACTCGTTGTCCAGTTACAGTTACCCGATCCGTCCAATTACAGTTACTCAACCCGTCGATCCAGTTACAGTTACCCGATACGTCCAGTTACAGTTACTAAATCACATTACTCGGTTCAATAGTGACCATCGTTAGCCACCATCGTAGGTACCCACCGATGGCCACCGCCACGATAACAAACGTTATAGTGACTTCCGTCCAATGAATAATTGACATAGTGACTCCCGTCTCGTGTCTCATGACTCCCACCGCCCCTTCAGTGATCACGGTCGCCCGTCCGGTGACAACATCTGCACGTCAAGTGACCAACACCCCCCTTTCAATGACCACCGTCCCACCCATTACATTTACTGCCGCCTGTCCATTACCCGCCGCTCCACCGGTTCTAGTTACCACAACCCGTCCGGTGACCGCTGCTTGCACCCTTTCTCAGCCACCACCGCTTCACTAGTCTCTCCCGATCCCCGGCCGCCATCATAGCACACCCACCATCCCATGTCCCGCCACCTGCCCATACTAAGCACCCGCCCCAAATTCAGCCCTGCCCCGCCACCTGCCCAGCCCCTGCCCAGCTCCGGCCCCAAATTCAGCCCCTGCCCCGCCACCTGCCCAGCCCCGGCCCCAAATTCAGCCCCAGACCCAGATTCAGCCCCAAACCCAACCCCAACCTCAACCCCAGAGCCAGCCCAGATCTAGCCCGCTCCCTAGCCTCTCATCCCATTGCCTCACCCTCCAACCCCCCCCCTCCCGCCACCGCCTTCCCAAACCCCTATGCCCAACCCCTGCTCTCGCGTTCGCCAAGCAAAAAATTGTGTGTCTCCACCATCAAAAAAAGAAAAAGAAGATCGAGTGGTGTAGGGAGATGGAGAGGTCCGGAGAGGCACTTGGTGATGGCGGCGGAGATGTTTCGGTTGCCGACGATGACGAATTCTTCGAAGAAGAGACTGCGCTGCGGACGAGTTTGGAGGCTGAGCCTGAGATCTGTGATGCTAAGAAGAGACGGAAGTGATGCAAATCTAATATTTGAGGGCACTTTGGTCTCTGCAGCATTTTTTACTCTCTTTTGTGTCCATACATTAATCAGGTTTATTTTGTCAAGTGTAAAGCCCATTGTCTTACTTTTGTCATTATTTCTTTATAATGTAAATAACTACAGAATTTAACCCAATTCAATTGAGATAATAAACAATTATGGGCAAAATCTAAAACAATCAATTCTAATAATTATACTCAATTGCAATATAAGTACGGAGTATAAACAATTTCAATTGAAATAACACTACTTTATTAGTACTAAAGTATATGCAATGTTTAATCTGAATGACAATAAATTGTTTAATTGAACAAAATAATGATGTTTAGAAGTAATAATATTTAATGAGAGTGCCAAATACATTTTTTTAATATAAAAGGAATTTTTATAATTAATTAGTATAATGAACCTTAGGGCCTCTCGAAACATTCATGTGTTCAATGGTGAACGCCAAAGTTACAAAGTTACAATAAACGCAAATGTATGTTGTACGCACAAAAATCATGAGAAAACGGGAAAATGTACTCTTTTGGAGAGTTTCCGTGGTACATAGACTAACATTTCATTGGCAATCCTCCAATACTCCAACTGCCAAAAATTACTGTGAAGTAGAGTTGTGGTGAAGCAGCACATTCTCACAGAGTCATGACCAGGGGCGGATGCACAACCATAGGAGAGGGGGCAGCTGCCCCCAATAAACAAACACTATCTTGTTATAATTCATTAAGAAAAATCTCATTCCAAATAAATGCCCCCAATTGAAAAAATAAATGCCCCCTTATCTCTAGTTCAGTAAACCCAAACAGCCCCATCCCCAAAATCCAAATTAAAAAACTTTTCAATTTTTTTTAATCGTGAAGGCTATAGATTCTAAAATTAAAGCAATTCAGTTGACGACAAGCTGGAGTAGTTCTCTCGTTAGAGCCGGGTCTAGAAAAGTGAAGAACGAGTGTAGGTTTCTCTCTAAACCAGTATTAACTATTTCACTATTGTATAATTTGTATTTATATAATTTGTATGTTGTTTAAAGTTTAAACCTAATGTGTAAAATTTATTCGAATTTATAAAAATGATAGGGGCGTATTGTATTAAGAATTAGTAGTGGCACAATTATATATTTATGACTAAAATGAAGATTGTTTACAAAAATGTGATTAATGACTTGAGTAATAATGATATCATAGTAACATATGTATATATTTTAAACTTAAGTTACTATGACACCACATTGTAATAACTAATAGTCATATTTGTGAAAATAATTTTACTTTAGTAATATTTATGTAAAAATAAACCTTTTCGATTTGGATATATCTTATTGTCTTTTTGTTTTGTATTGCCTTTATGTATGTCATCTTATTATTCCCTAGGTATAGAGCCGGGGCAGTCCGGGACATAGGTCCGACCGGTCCAGGTTCTAAATAATTGAAGCCCAGTATTGACCCAGATTGGTTTCGGTTTGGGTCCAAATAGTACCGGTCTATGGTAAGTACCCACTACCCACCCTCTAATTAAAAAAATAAAAGTATATCCATTGGGACCAGAACCGGGCCCAGGACCGGCCGATCCCGTCCCAAAATATCAAGCTCAAGCTCGTCGGTTTTTACGTTAGTCCGTGTAGCGTTGGTACCGGAAAACCGGTCCCGGGCGGTCCTAACAGTACTGGTCTTGGGTCGGTCCTGGGTCGGAGGGTCCGGACCCGGTCCATCCCTACTCTGCCCCCAATAGCTTTGAATCCTGGATCTGCCACTGGTCATGACTGCTATTGCCAAACTTCATAGTGTCTTTCTCAAGAGTTCATAGTATTGTTGAGGTTGAATTCGGATGTGATTGATGAAAGTTCCATTTGTGCTCCCAAGATCCATTATGTAGGGCCTGATTTGCTTAGACGAAGTGCCATCGGAGCTTTCCTTCTCGACTTGCCGGTACTGAAGAATAGCATGTTGCTTGCTGCAAAATGGGTGATATTTAGGAATATCTGTGATCCTTCGCTCGCTCCCGATAAAATAACAACTTTGCCGATAAAAAGTTTCATCAAACACTTCACCAGTCCTAAGGACATATAGGGGTGTTTGGAATTGATTCTGTTTCTGCTTCTTTTTTAGAGTAGAAGCAGAAGCATAATCAGTTTTCAGAAGTTAGTCTTCCTCAACTTCTTAAAAAATTGATTTAGGAGTAAATTAGAGCACCAGAATCACTTTTGCACTTTCACCTAAACACTTCAACTTCTGTTTCTACTCCTTGAAAGAGTAGAAGCAGTTTTAAAATCAGATTCAAACACCCCCATAAATCCATAATCTCCATCTTGGTGATGGCTTTCTGGCGGCTCATTGAAAACAAGTGTTATGCCTCTATATCTGCCAACTTCCCAGAGAGCTCAAAGGAAGGGTTCTTCATTGGAGTAATTTGGTGAAGGCATAGGGGGTCTAATAGATGGACTCATCCTGCGATGCCCCATTGGAGTAATTTGGTGAAGGCTGAATTCGATTTTTTCTTTAGATGAAATGTAAATATATATTAACACCCAGAAAACTATACATCACATAAGCTAAATCTCCTAACCCCCTCCCCACACACACAAAATGTGAGGGTGAAAGGAGTTTTTTTGTTTGATCTACTCTATGCCAAAAAATCACCAAGTAGAGGTTCAAAAATACATCGGTGCTCCCAAAGCACGCACACAAATCATAAAATCAAAAACAGAATACAAAGGTGTTGCAAGATGCATACACCCTAAAATCCAAGACCCTGCTTAATGTCGCGGTATCCACGATGCCCATGCCGCAGTGCCCAAAGCCGTCCAGGCCTCGGCATCCTAAATATCCATGCCTTGGCATCCAAAAACACTCATGTAGCAGTCTGTCCAAACCACGGCATCCATAAAATCCATGCTACGTCCTTCAACTCAAAAGGTAATCAAGTCATGTGGGTATATATTGAAAAGTATTTTATATACCACATGCTTAATTGATGAGGGGGACGTCAAGGAAGATGAGGTCATCGCAAAAATTAAGCATTTTTTTTCATTTACCCCTT